GAAAAAGGAAGGACAATTTTTTACCATCCCCCTTATTTGTTGATATTACCGAGACTTTTATAAAGGTTTAATAGCTAGGACAGTGAAAATGCTTATAGAAAGACCCAACCAAAGTACCAAACGTTGAAGCTAATATACCAACCAACAAGTATGCACCAACCAAAAATTTGCGCGTTCAGGAAAAAACATCTTGTTAAACAGAACGAAAGGAATATAAGTTTGATTGACGTAAGGAAAGATACCTTATGGGCTTTCATTTCAAAAAGTATTAGAAATTAGTATGATGGTTTGTGTCTTTCATATAATACAGGTTACTTTTTATTAGTGAATTAGAGGTACATGTGATGTAGGATAGTCCTAGAAACCTTTTTTACATTTTATGCATAACAAAACATCTAGAGATGTAAGAACCACAAAGACCAGACTAAAGAAACGTGAATTAATAGTAGAGATCAAACGATAATATTGAAAAAAATTATATATACACAAACAAGATATGATTTTTATCCTTAATTCAGAAAATCTCCCACAATGTAGCGGATCTATGAGATTCATAATCCCATAATACGATTGTATGAGACTATAGTCGCAACACTCGACTATAAAATCTACGAACTAAGAATCTATGCTATAGAAACGAAAAAAAGAAAGATTACTGATTTTGTTTTATGTAAATTTTATAACTGAATGAGTGAAGAATGAGAAGCAATGAGGTTATAGCAAAGGGAGAGAATGGATCAACTCTTTCATCAAAAGTGAAGAGCGCAAATCATGAACAATAATTGTAAAGTGTGATATCAGGGTCTGGGAAGCAAAATACAGAACTGTTATGATTTTACAATGAGAAAACGTTTTGATTCTCTTTAAATTCAAAACGCGTTAGATTTTTGAACAAAAAGAACATGGTCATCGTAGTACCCCCAAGTGCCAAATTTGAAGCCTACGAACCATGTGCCGAACGAGTGGCAGCGTGTGACTTAGTCATCTCTATTTTTAGGTGCACATTTTTAGGGACAATGTTATGAACTTACTTAATCTTATGAGTTTAATTTACTCTTATATCCGAGTAATTTTTCATTGGTCTATATCTAATTTAGTTAATACCAATTTAGTTTTCTTAATTGTTTAACCTATAAAATTTTAATTGATTTTTGATTTTTTCCTCCTAGAAAGATATTCGGTCGTGATGCCAAACCTGAGTTCGGATAAACATATGTTGATCTATAATGTGTTTATCTATAATGTGTTTACATTACCGTTATATATATATAGGCGTGTAAATTCTTGCTAATATATACGTATATATGAGAATAACTGAAATCTTATTCAGATTAATGGGTGCTTCAGCAGGAGGTAGAACTAATATGAGTTTTATTTTGTCTTATTAATATATAACTCATATTTGTTCCACCACCTGTCAAAACACACTTAATCTTAAAAATAAGATAGGTGGTGTGTTTTTTACTTTTAGCCTTTACATATTTCTAATTATTTTGATTAATATTATACTACATAATAATGAGCAAGCCGTTTAGATTTTGAATGCTAGAGAAACAAAACCTAAGATGAATGGTGGAGACTTTTCATAACCAGTATTTTGCCATTAAATTCCAAATATAAGGATTAGATGGATTGCATTAGGGAAATAATATGGGATTTGTTAAGCATTAT